AAATTGTCAACAATAATTTCAAAATATTTTTATAAATGCCAAAATAGACCTTTTTAAAGAAATTGGATTTTTAAGTAATTTTTAGCAGTCGTAGAAAAATAAAATGCTGTATATCACACGTGGGCTAGAGCATTATTACAGTACTTATGTGATTACACGACTCGGTCTACGACCTCGTCGTGCAATTCTCCACGCTCGTACTGTAATTATGTTTCTAGCCCACTTGTAATATAAATAACTATTATGTTAATAATTATTTAAAAATTAAACAAGTGTTATTAAACTCAAGAAATAAAGAGTTTCTGTTGGTTTACGTATATAAATGAAAACAGAAATGACAATTCTTCCAATGACGTCACAACAGGGCCTTTGTCTATGGACCTTTGCGGAGGGGATACGTTCATAACAACAGCGTTCATAGGGAGTTAGATAACCTTATACAGACCTTGCGCTATACTTCTGCGCTACTTGACGCGGCACAGAATAACTTATTTCATTATTCACGGGTAGCCATCTTGACCAGACTAATAATAATTATTTGAAACGTTAAAAGTTCAAAAAACGTCAATTTAATTCAATTTTTTAGGAGTTTCTAAATGTTTGACATTAAAAAAACCTAAACAAATTCCTTTTTTCGTATGATTTAAGCATAAATTAATTAATTTTCCTAAAAAAAACGACGTTTTATAAAACTGACATTTAATTTTGACAAATTGTGAAGTTGGTTACAGTTGGTAACATTGAATTTGTGTCACATTGACGTTTAACCTTTATTCAAAAATTTATTTAAAAAATAAATTTATGGAATCAATTTCAATAGTCGTGGCCAAAGTATAGTATTCTACTCGCATATAATGAGCTATATTCACTCAGGTTAATTATGCCACTCGCTACGCTCGTGATATAAACTTAACCTTCGTGAATAATAGCCCTCATTATATGCTCATATAATAATATACTATTATGGTACTATTCATTATATTATTATTATGTTATTTTGTGGTCGCGGTAAACTTAGGCCGGCATCCAAGACCTTTTCCGAGTTGTCGCTCTCGGTCGGGTTATTATACAGGGTGATTCAAAAAACCGCTGACAGACTTCTAGGGCAGGTAATACATTAAAAATTAAGATGAAATGTCTTAATATACATGGGGTCGCAAATGCCTCATTGGCGAGATATAGCGGATCAAAGTTTCTTTAAAATTAAACGTTATCTGCTATAAAAAGCACATTTTTAAAAATACTGTCTACGCCATTGCTCTCTACGCGTGTAAAGTGATCAATTATCTATCAATTGGTCTCTTAAAAAATTTTGATCAAAGCAATAGTTTTTAAGAAAAACACGTTTGTAGAAAATTTGTTAATTTAATCAAAGTGTTGCTTTAATCAAAGTTTTGTAAGAAACCAATTGATAGATAATTGATCACTTTACACGAAAATACTGCCCGTTTGACAAAATTAGCAGTGAAGTTGAAACTATTTTTAAAAAAGGGCAAGGACCAAGGACAGTAGAATCTAACAGGTCTGCTACATCCATTGTTGTGACAACCTGCTCGCAAACTACGTCACATCATTTTCCATGCCCAGCTGTTGTTATGGTCTATGCCTTTACTGTGTACTTTTAAAGGTTATATCCTAGACGTCTTCATATTATTTTTGACGTTTTATGTTTTTAGACGTATTAATGTCTATCATATAACCTCTAAAAACACAGACAGTTACCAGGCGTGGCAAATAGTGTGACGTAGAGTGCGGGCAACCAACACTGTAGGTGTAGCAGTCCTGTTAGATTCTACTGTCCTTGAAAAAGCTTTTAAAGAAACTGACTCGCTATATCTCGTTAAGGAGACATTTGCAACCTCATGTATATTAAGACTTTTCATCTTAATTTTTGATGTATTGCCTGCCGTAGAAGTCTGTCAGCGGTTTTTTGAATCACCCTGTATAATAACCCGACCGAGAGCGACAACTCGGAAAACGTCTTGGCCGACCTAAGTTTACCGCGACCACAGAATAACATAATAATAATATAATGAATAGTACCATAAATAAGTTATTCTGTGCCTCGTCAAGCAGCGCAGAAGTAAGTACAAGCCCTAGAAGTCTGTTAGCGGTTTTTTTGAATCAACCTGTATATACGCACGGCTAGTTCTAGGTCTAATGTTAGTTCTAGTGACAGTGCAAGTGTAAGGAGGCTAAATCCAAATGATTCTAGTTCTAGGTAAAGTGTTAGTTCAACATAGTAACAGTGCTAGTGTAAAACCAGAACTAATTCTTGACCTAGAACTAGAAACATTTGGATTTAGCCGTCTTAAGAGGCGTGCGACTAAACCCAAATGATTCTAATTCTAGGTATAGTCTTAGTTCTACATAGTAATAATAATAATAATAGTTCTACATAGTAAAAGTGCTGGTATAACACTAGAAGAAAAAAAGTTAGATACTACCTATAAACCACTTATAAAAGGCTATATACTACTTGAAGTAGTCTAGAAACTGCTTGCAGGAGATTAAATATTGTTGGCAGAAAACAGTCTATATGGAAAACTAAACTCTGTTTGTAGAAGATAGATACTGCCTATAGAAGGCTATATACTGCTTGATATAGTCTAAAAACTGTTTGCAAAAGACTAAATACTGTTGGATAAACACAGATACAGCATATAGAAAACTAAACAGTGTTTGCAAAAGACTAAAAACTGATTACAGAAGACAGATACTGCCTACAAAAGCCTAATTATNATTTTCCACGCCCAGCTGTTGTTATGGTCTATGCCTTTACTGTGTACTTTTAAAGGTTATATCCTAGACGTCTTCATATTATTTTTGACGTTTTATGTTTTTAGACGTATTAATGTCTATCATATAACCTCTAAAAACACAGACAGTTACCAGGCGTGGCAAATAGTGTGACGTAGAGTGCGGGCAACCAACACTGTAGGTGTAGCAGTCCTGTTAGATTCTACTGTCCTTGAAAAAGCTTTTAAAGAAACTGACTCGCTATATCTCGTTAAGGAGACATTTGCAACCCCATGTATATTAAGACTTTTCATCTTAATTTTTGATGTATTGCCTGCCGTAGAAGTCTGTCAGCGGTTTTTTGAATCACCCTGTATAATAACCCGACCGAGAGCGACAACTCGGAAAACGTCTTGGCCGACCTAAGTTTACCGCGACCACAGAATAACATAATAATAATATAATGAATAGTACCATAAATAAGTTATTCTGTGCCTCGTCAAGCAGCGCAGAAGTAAGTACAAGCCCTAGAAGTCTGTTAGCGGTTTTTTTGAATCAACCTGTATATACGTACGGCTAGTTCTAGGTCTAATGTTAGTTCTAGTGACAGTGCAAGTGTAAGGAGGCTAAATCCAAATGATTCTAGTTCTAGGTAAAGTGTTAGTTCAACATAGTAACAGTGCTAGTGTAAAACCAGAACTAATTCTAGACCTAGAACTAGAAACATTTGGATTTAGCCGTCTTAAGAGGCGTGCGACTAAACCTAAATGATTCTAATTCTAGGTATAGTCTTAGTTCTACATAGTAATAATAATAATAATAATAGTTCTACATAGTAAAAGTGCTAGTATAACACTAGAAGAAAAAAAGTTAGATACTACCTATAAAAGGCTATATACTACTTGAAGTAGTCTAGAAACTGCTTGCAGGAGATTAAATATTGTTGGCAGAAAACAGCCTACTGTATATGGAAAACTAAACTCTGTTTGTAGAAGATAAATACTGCCTATAGAAGGCTATATACTGCTTGATATAGTCTAAAAACTGTTTGCAAAAGGCTAAATATTGTTGGATAAACACAGATACAGCATATAGAAAACTAAACAGTGTTTGCAAAAGACTAAAAACTGATTACAGAAAATAGATACTGCCTACAAAAGCCTAATTATTGCTTGAGATAGTATAGAAACTGATTGCAGAAGATTAAATATTGTTGGCAGAAGATACATTCTGCCCATAGAAGGCTATGTGCTGCTTGAAATAGTCTAAAAACTGCTTGCAAGAAAAAAAATTAAATAATGTTTTCAGAAGACAGATACCACATATGGATAACTAAACACTGGTTTTAGAATACTAAAAATTAATTGCAGAAAACCGATACTGCTTATAGCAGCCTAGATATTGCTTGAAATAGTGTAGAAACTGCTTGCAGAAGGTTAATTATTGTTGGCAAAAGGTGGATATTGCCTATAGAAGGCTAAATACTGCATGAAGTAGTCTAAATACTGCTTGCAGAAAATTAAATATTATTGAAACAAGGCGGTACTGAATAGAAAATGTTAAATTCTGCTTGAAATGGGTTCGAAACTGCCTTCAGGTTAAATACTGCTACAGGAAAGTAGGTATTTTTGAAAATAATCAAACAATACTTGAAAGAGAATAATCACTATTTTCAGAAAGCTAGCAGTGTTTACAACTACCTAATGTATAGGACTTCCATTCTCTTCACTACTTTTCAAGCTACTTCACAGCTTTTCAATCAATTCATGTTGATGATACACGATCATCTTGACATGCAAGAATTCCTGCAAGTTTATGCAAGTTAGTTCTAGTGCCAAACTTTTTTAGTTCTACATGATTACAGTGCTAGGTGTAAAACTAGAACTAATACTAGACCTAGAACTAGAATCATTTGGGTGATTCAAGGTCTAGTGTTAAAGAATTTGTCGAATTTGTTTATATCGATTATTTCTTTTAGGTTAGGTTTATTTTTGAAATAACTTGAAACGTCAAAATTAAAATTGTCAAATTGAAAAGATAACCTTAAAAATTAAAAATATTACTTTTGATAATTGGAATTTATACATTTATGGTAATTAATCTATAATAATTATAAATATGAGTCAATAAAATCTTTTTGGTTCAAAAAGTTATCGGGACGTTTAAAACTTTTCCTATCGCCCGTTAGATGTCGTTAATTTGATTGAAAAATTTTCCCTCCCTACTCTTCACCTAGCTTCCGTTATGCTTCTGCGCTGCTTGATGGCAGTCGCGGTAGACTCAGGCCGGCATCCAAGACCTTTTCCGGGTTGTTGCTCTCGGTCGGGTTATTGTGTGTGAGTGTGTGTATATGTTTGTAACTACAGTGAAGTTCTAACCTACTCGCAAAAAAAAAGAAAAAAAATGTCTTCATTAATCGGATATCTTGATTTCGGGATCCAATAAAAACAATTTGACCTCTATTAAATACGATGTTTCTTAGTATTATTAGATGTGAAGGCGCTGAAGATGACGATGTCCGCGTAACACCACCACCCCAAAATAACACCTCAACTAGGAGTACTCGATGATGTTGGTGAAGAAAGAAAATAAAATGAATTACTAGACTTTTTCTTGAAACGGTGAGATTTTTTTTTTGAATTTTTTTTCTTGTTATTGAGTCTCCCGGGGCGGGTTTTAAAATGGAAACGGAAACCTTGGGTTTATTGCTCTGATTGCGTTATTTGATACTTAATGCTAGAAAAGTACGAGGTAGAGATTAATTTAAGGTTAAATGAGAGCGGGAATTTTAGGAAATCGTGTTGTATTTTGTGGCGATTATACCCGGTAGGGCGTAGGGGGTAACATCCTTAACTGTCAATGTCGAGGTCAGTTGGTACAGTTTCGCAATTAAAGGACTTGAAATAATAATTGTTTCCTTATTGACGTGTTTACTACTTTGGGCCTTTGGGGTGAGTTGTAAACATCTTCGGATGTAAACAACGTTTTAATAAGTGATTCTAAAAAAACTTATTATAATTAATTAATAATTTAATATCAAGGTGTATTCTGAAGATGTCCTATCCCTTATAATACAAGGTGAAATCGGTAAAACAAAAAAGTAAATATTAAACTGTCGATGTCGTGTCAAAGTTTAACATGATATTAACTTCGTAATTTTTTATAAATCCAAATAGTAGAAATAACCTTAGTTTTATGAAGCTAAATTAGGCAGAAGTTAATTTACCCGAATGCTAAAATAATATCTTACTCAATGAGAAAGCGATAATTCTCGATTAACGTTATGTTAAACCTCGATTAACTTGAATGAGTTCATAACATGTAACCACGGACACATAAAATTTGAAGTACCGTCTGAAGACGCACTGTTAAACCCAAAACTTTCTAGTTCTAGTGTTAGTGCTAGTTTTAATTGTTATGCAACACTAGATTGTTGCATATTTTTATTGAACTAATAGTAGAACTAACACTATACCTACAACTAGAATCATTCGGCTGTTTCTCGAACCTCGAATACTTATACAGGGTGTCTCAGCGAGACCGGTCATTAGACGTTTTTAGGGTTCTGGCCAAACAAAAAATTTGAGAATCATCTATTTGAATTCATCTAAAATATTTTCAGATTTCTAGCACTTCCGGTTATACCGGAAGTCGCCACCTACTTTATTTTTTTAAATGGAACACCCTGCATATTTTTACATATTTGGATTTGTCTGTTTCGAAGGTTTATAAATAACTTTACTTTTTGCAATTTGAACCAGCACTTCTCGAGTTATTCGAATCTTTCTAGAAAAATCTGCTCCAACGGACATTTGTTCAAAAAATCATAGAACACTCAATTTTTGAGATATCAATTTAGGATTCAGAACATGCTTAAACAACATGATGGAGTATGTTTTGGTGCCGAGAACGGCTGTCTAGATCGTTTGGTCACTTTACTATGATACGTTAACTTTTCGAAATTTGGAAGCACCATAACTTCATTTTTTTAAATGGCACCCCCCATATTTTATTACTTAGTCGTCTTCGGCGTCTCATTTTACATCTTTTATATTCCATATGTCCTATGCCTAACATTAATAGTTTGAGAAATAATTAGGGTTTTTTGAAAAATGCTCACATATCATATCGATATTAACCTAGTGTGCCATGGAAAACAAATGTTTAATGACTTATTGATAAACGTCAAAGTCTAATTTAGGTTGTTTGATGCTTGTGAGTCTAAAACCAGTTAAAATGGATATTAATAACGTAAATAATGTTTATACAAATGAAGAAATCCATAATTTATTTTTTGTGCACGAAAAGTGCGACAAAGTTCTTAGTAGAACTTGCAGAATGTTTAATGAAAATTATCCACATTTATCTCCGATGACAAAAGGTAAATTTAGAGGAATAGAAGCAAATTTTTTGCATTTTGGACGAATTAATCACGTGTTAAACTGACCAAAAAATGTAGTAGATAATGCAACGGAAGAGGTGAATACCTTGGCTTATTTCGAGCCCAGTCCCAACACCTCAATTCGAGCTGCCAAAGAAGATCTGGGAATCATACTACGAACTTTGTCGCGCTTTTCATGCAAAAAAAATAAATTAAGAATTTCTTGATTTGTGTAAATATTACTTTCGTTATTGTTATCGATTTTAACTCGTTTCAGTACTAATATTAAGGGACATAACAGATAATTATTAGCTCACATGCATCAAGTGACGTAAACAAGTGAGTCTTTGACAAGAACTCATTGAGAAGGCTTGTTTTTCATGGCACACTAGGCTAAATATCCATATGATATGTGTGCATTTTTCAAAAAACCCTAATTATCTCCCAAACTATTAATATTAGGTATGGGCCATATGGGATATAAAAGATGTAGAATGAGACACCGAAGACGACTAAAAAATAAAATATGGGGGGTGCCATTTAAAAAAATGAAGTTATGGTACTTCCAAATTTTGAAAAGTTAACGTGCCATAGTAAAGTGATCAAACGTTCTAGACCGCAGTTCTCGGCACCAAAACATACTCCATCATGTTGCTTAAGCATGTTCTTAATCCTAAATTGATATCCCAAAAATTGAGTGTTTTCTGATTTTTTGAACAAATGTCTGCTGGAGCAGATTTTTCTAGAAAAATTCGAATAACTCGAGAACGACCGAATCAAATTGCAAAAAGTAAAGTTATTTATAAACCTTGAAAACAGACAAATCCAAATATGTAAAAATATACAGGGTGTTCCATTTAAAAAAATAAAGTAGGTGGCAACTTCCGGTATAATCGGAAGTGTAAGAAATCTGAAAATATTTTAGTAGAAGAGATCGTAATTAATAATACTTATGTCTGAATTCTCAAATTTTTTTTAACGTCTAATGACCGGTCTCGCTGAGACACCCTGTATATATTAACCCGATACTTTATTAATAACCAAGTTCTAGGTTTAACACTAATTAACACTAAATCTAGAACCAGAAACATTCAAAAATCAATCATCTTCAACCTTAAACATCGCCTTTGTATAGTCGAGCTGTTATATTAATTGATATATTTATATTGATCAGTTTTGGGTTGATAAAGTATTAATTCCAGTGCTTCGACAATTCACTGAGTTAGTTTATGACCGAAGTGCTCCAATATACAAGGTGATTTTCAACCTATATGCATAAACTTGGGGATTTATTCCTCGAGACAAATAATGGGTAATAGGTGAACAAAATTGTAGTAAAACATTTTTAAAAAGGTGCTTCGCGAAAGATGTACAGGTTAAGGTAGTCCATTGGATTGGCCATCTCGATCGCCCGACCTCAATCCTCTTGATTTTTATTTTTGGGTCACTTAAAAAGCATAGTATACGTCAACGAACTTAATATTGAAATCATCTTACACAGCAACTTCTGCAAAAAAATGTTTACATACATTTGAGTGTGTCGTTTGCTCACGTTCTTCTAATTGCAAGAGTTGCCTACACAAATGATGCATGGCGAATTTTAATAACGAGATGAAGAGTAGAAAATGTTGACAACATCAAAAAGAAGCGGATAGAACTCCGGCGAAAAAGCGTCAGGTAGCTTTCCTCTGTTTCGTTGATCTAACCAAAACATTTTACAAAGTAAGGTTAAAAGAAATAGAACAGGGCAAACATTACGAAGTATGTAATGTAAACTATGGTTACGCTATGTATGATTATGATTACAAAATCAAGATTGAGTGCTATGCAGATGATGCTGTCCTCTTGACTGATACTGAGGATGGCATACAATGGTTAACACAGGCATTTAACATTGCAGCTAAGGAAGTTAATACTTGATTTGATGTCATTTGAAAATCTTATATGTATTCTTGATTTGAAAGTAAATTTAATGGATATCTAGGAAACTAAAAAACTTTTGCTACAATTTCAACTTTTTCATCTATTATGCGTTATTTGCCATGAAGAATAAATCCCCAAGTTTATGCGTATAGGTTGAGAATGACCCTTAATAACTAGTTTGAGTTTATTGCGACCTCAGGAATTAATCATAATTAAAAATTCAATTTGATTAAGTACAATCATTGACGGATTGTAGTGCCTCGGCCGCATCAACCTTGGTTGTGTTCTTCTTTCATCGTCAACTATTGTGGTGCATCACTCACTAAACGGCTTCAGCTATAATTTACTACCACTGTCAATGATTGTACCGTCTCGGTCGCACGCGGCCTTGATTGTAATCTTCCACCGTCGCCGGCGATTCTAGCACCTCGTTCATAAACGACCTCGGTTATATTTTACATCCATTATCAATCATTGTAGCGCCTCGGACGCAAGGCGACTTCGACTAAAATTTATTTCCACTATTAATGATCTTTCTTCATCATCAACGATTGCAATACCTCGGTCGAAAGCGATCTCGNTCGAGAATGGCCGAATCAAATTGCAAAAAGGAAAGTAATTTATAAACCTTGAAAACAGACAAATCCAAATATGTAAAAATATACAGGGTGTTCCATTTAAATCGGAAGTGTAAGAAATCTGAAAATATTTTAGTAGAAGAGATCGTAATTAATAATACTTATGTCTGAATTCTCAAATTTTTTTTAACGTCTAATGACCGGTCTCGCTGAGACACCCTGTATATATTAACCCGATACTTTATTAATAACCAAGTTCTAGGTTTAACACTAATTAACACTAGACCTAGAACCAGAAACATTCAAAAATCAATCATCTTCAACCTTAAACATCGCCTTTGTATAGTCGAGCTGTTATATTAATTGATATATTTATATTGATCAGTTTTGGGTTGATAAAGTATTAATTCCAGTGCTTCGACAATTCACTGAGTTAGTTTATGACCGAAGTGCTCCAATATACAAGGTGATTTTCAACCTATATGCATAAACTTGGGGATTTATTCCTCGAGACAAATAATGGGTAATAGGTGAACAAAATTGTAGTAAAACATTTTTAAAAAGGTGCTTCGCGAAAGATGTACAGGTTAAGGTAGTCCATTGGATTGGCCATCTCGATCGCCCGACCTCAATCCTCTTGATTTTTATTTTTGGGTCACTTAAAAAGCATAGTATACGTCAACGAACTTAATATTGAAATCATCTTACACAGCAACTTCTGCAAAAAAATGTTTACATA